GGGTATTGTGGTTGTTGTGGTTCTTGTGGTACGGGGTATTGTGGTTGAGGTTGTGGTCTGGGGTATTGTGGTTGTTGTGGTTCTTGTGGTACGGGGTATTGTGGTTGAGGTTGTGGTCTGGGGTATTGTGGTTGTTGTGGTTCTTGTGGTACGGGGTATTGTGGTTGTTGTGGTTGTTGTGGTTGGGGATAAGGATGTTGGGGCTGTTGTGGTTGTGGGTATTGTGGTTGTTGAGGTTCTTGTGGTTGGGGGTAAGGATGTTGTGTTGGTTGCTGTGGTTGCTGTGGTTGTTGTGGTTGTTGTGGCTGATGGTAATCAGGGTAGGATGGCTTGTGGTAGTCAGGGTAGGATGGTTTCTGGTAGTCAGGGTAGGATGGTTTCTGGTAGTCAGGGTAGGACGGCTTCTGATAATCGGGGTAGGATGGCTTTTGGTAATCCGGATAAACGGGTTTCTGATAGTCGGGATAGGTCGGCTGCTGGCTGTCAATGGGGTCTCTGTCCTGCACGTCGACTGGTCCTCCTTGAGGGTATCCCTGGCCCTGGTTTGTGTCTTGGGAAGGAGTGTACTGGTCATAGCCGCTCGGTCTGTAAGAGATGGGTTCTATCTGCTGTCTGGGCAGACCCGAACTCAGAGCGATCGTCAAAACCGCGATGAAACACGCCAAAGAGTTCATCTTGAAGTGCTTGTTCTTGGAAAACAAACAAACAAACAGATAAAGATGGAAGAGTAGACAGACGTATGTCTGGCTACTGGTAGATACAACACTGAATAGGTCTCCTGGTTCGGGTTAGCTGGAATGCTAGACCCCTCTCTGTTGTTTCTCAGCGTACACAGAATCCTCCTCTGGGCGAACACTGCTCTGAGATTGTGTGCCCTCGAAAGTTTGGTTCGAGGGTTTTATACCACGTCTCCTCTCCTCAGACAACTCTCATTAGAACTTGTCTTGCCTTTTCTTCCCTTTCAAACTCAACAATATACATAAGACATGAAGGGCGTTTGCCTAGTTTTTTCTCGGCCATTCTGTCTAAACTTTCCCTCAATTTTTTTCCACATAGTTATAGTTTGGCGGACTTTTTTTAAGCCAACTCTTCAGCATAGCGTTTCTCTTGGCGTTACAAAGGTCAGCGAGCATCTTTCTATAGAAGCGAGCTAGCTGCTGGCATTTTGAGATAAAGCTTGAATAGAATCCGTTCTGAAAAGTGTATTGGGATCGTGCAGAGGGTGTGTTTAGGGGGAATTTAGGGAGTTGAGGTGGGATGGTGCTATTGTTCAGCGTCGCTTCTGACATTTGCACGGCGTTCAAAGGGCGACCACCGGTAGACAGGTGTACTAACGTGGTGAGGGTAATGACTTGATAGAAATGTGATACTCGTCCCTGTTAGTCGGAGTGCATACGTGCGTGCGTGCGTGCATGTGTTTGAGTGTACGTCTGTGTATGTGTGGGTGTGTGGTTGTGTGTGT